CCTTCACCTGAGATCTTGTTGGTCTTCACCATGTTCTACACTACGAAAATTTACGGCCGGAATATTATTTATTTACATGCGTGTTCTATGTTTGAGGTCCAAAATGTTTTCGATATATTTTCATACATTCTGTCCTTTAAATACTACCACAGAAAGAAATCGAGTGATGGTGAATCCGATCGATCGAAATAATTTCGTTCAGTCGTCTGTGAACATTTAAGCCGTAATGTTTCAGAAGACAATTATGTTGGAATCATATTCTTTGATGGAAATATTTGGATATTTTCAATTGAAAAAATAGGTGTTAATTTAGGTGTTACTTCCGATTAGAGGAAATCCAAGGGTCGCTGAACAGGACAGGATGTTCGTTGAGCAAATGTTTTTCTTCTTGCTGTGATGCTGAGCATCAGCTTTCATAACATCTCTTGGGTGGTCTTCATAAAGTTTGGTTTTTACAGCTTGGCCAATTTTGCACATTTTTCATCTAGCATTCTGTCCACATGATCTCTCCAGAACCTCTTGCGCGTTCTCACCCATCTTACCACGTTCTGTAGTCCCAGTTTCTTTCTGATATCCCGGCTTTTTATTCTACGAAGCGTACGTTCAAGCAGGTCTTACGGATCTTTTGTAAATACTCAGCCTGCTTTTTGTACTCATAATTTTATTTCGCATATTATATCTACCAAATATCCGCTGACTCTTGTTGCTTTTATGGCTTGTGTTCGTGCTTGAGCACTGAAATTTCTCTCGCTTGATACCTCTACTCCCAGGTAGTTGAATTTGCTGCTGAATTATCGTGTTGTCGACTCCTAGTTTGCGCCTTACGGTTCTTTAGAGAAAAGCATTGATTGTGTTTTGTTCTGTAGCGATGTTCATGTTAAACTTATGTTCTGTTACTTATGCTGCTAAAAGGATTGCATCGTCTGCATAACATAATCATTTAATGGCGCGGTTACCCATCCTATATCCAGCGTTCGTTTTTTTTAAATACTTTCAAAGATTTGGCCTTTAATAATGCTGAAAAGGGCAGGACTAAGGCTATCCCCTTGTCGTATACCCGAATTGATTTGCACTTCCTCAGACAGTCCATCGTTCGTTTATATATTTTTTTCTGCTTCTGCTGTTCAGCTCTTGTGTAATTCTTTGGTATCCGTAATCGATGTTTTTCTGGTTCTTCTGATTACCTCGTCTAGCCGGACCCTGTCGAATGCCTTGGTTCAATCTAAAAAACATACTAACACGGGCTGTTAAATTCTATTGAATTTTCTATGATTTGACGTAATATATTGCGTCCAGCGTTGATCCATGGGACCTAAATCCTTGCTGTTCTTTGGATGTTGCCACTCTTTGCCAAAGACCGAGCTCAAAAGCGTTATGTTGGATAAAGTATGGATATAGTTACTCCCCATTCGTCCATTTTTCATCTTTTTAAACAGTAGATGAATTCTTTCTGTTGTTTCTTTCCCCGAATTTTATTAGTTTATTGTTGATATTATCTACACCAGTTTTTCAGTTTTTCAACTTTTGTGTTATCGCTTTAACTTCCTTTGTTATTATATCAGCTTCAATATCATCGTCATTTGGCAGAATCTCTATATCTAAGTAGTATTATACATGCTTTTAAAGTGTTCCCATGTTTCCAATTTAATTTTGTTCACTTAATCATTCTTCTTTATCAATCTGTCTCTCCCAGTATTCTTTTTATTGGCATTATATGGTTGTTTGTTCGATTTTTCATAGTTTCGTATCTCTCGTACTCCTTCGGTGTAAAGGCTTAAAAAACTATGGTCTAAAATTTTGTATTAATTATGGGAGCTCAAATTAGAGAAGCTAATATTATGCGAAAAATTATTATCATCACACCTGGTCATAATTCCTTCACAGAATTGATTGCTTCTACTGTAATCGTCCTCATGAAATTCTTGAACAACCTGCTTCAATTTCTTGCTGGTTCCATGTTCTTGAAACTTGTGACAATCTTCTACTGATAGTTGCTTGCACAATATATCAGGTCATTCAATAACACACAAACTTGAGCATGTATAAGTGAAACTTTATGTTCAGTGAAACGATAACTATTTGGCAAGGAAATAGTCCAAGGAACGACACCCTCCTTCACCAGTTATTTTGCAACTTCCTCTCGAAAATCTTGAATTAACACTACATCTGACATTTTCTACGTGACTAATTGCCTTTGATCTAATTTCAAGATTGCACTTTAATTAGAAATAGTCTAATAATTGATGTTTTGAAATTATTTCAGATGGATCGAGACATATTTACTGCATGCTGAATTGTTTTAGGTATGTACTAATTCTGCTACTCAATACATGTTAATTAACTTCTGTGTGGTTTTGCCAATTAAGTTTCTATTTGGTTGCTCAATACGAGTGTGTGATTTTCTGATTTCGCATGAAAGATTAGTCAATTCAGGATACATGGCTATTTTTGTTTGTTCCACTGGGAACAGTTTCGGTCTAGTTATTAACTCGATTTTTTTGTCGATTTAATTAACAATCGCTTTATGTTGTGTGTGGCATTGAACTTGGAAATGTTGTTTATAATTAATTGGTGACCGCGTCTGGTTTGATTTTAATTTAATAGAACTCGCTGTCTGCTGTTTAAAATGATATAAAAGCCAAACAATGCCTACATTTATTGTTATTTTAAATTGTTTTCACACGCAGACATTTTAAAGTTATTCTTAGTATCAGCTTAAAAAAACTCTGTATTTTTCTTAGTAAACACTTAGAGTTATGGCTTAAAATCGCTTAGGAAGGTTAATAACGGAGTTAAACTTTAATAATAAGTATAACTTTACTCTACTTAGTGTCTTTTTCATGGATTTAAGTTCTATTTGCATTGATGATAATTTCCACAACTTTCACGTTTTATAATATTTGTAAATATCGCTAACACGTATTAAGGCATAAGTTTTATGATAAAATAAGTTATCCTTTGAACTATTTTATTCGAATTTAGCCAATGAAATCCTTCATTCTTTATTTTTGGCCTTGAACCAACAAATGCGTTCAACGATTTTTCAATGTCCTTAACCTTTGTTTTCAAGCACATACTGAACACGATACGCTTGTTACCTTTACCGAAATATAGCTGGTTAATTACACAACTTGTGTCGTAAAAACTGTTTACGATTTAGAGTATTCATTTTTACAGTTACGCAAAGTTTCATGAAAAATTCCCAGCTATTCGGTTGTGTCATCTTTTGTCACAAAAGAGTGAATAATCATCAGATGTGCATTGTTAAACACTTTGTTCTTTCCATGGACTGTCTGTCTCTATTTGACCTGACAAGGTAACTGTTGAAACCACAAGTACAGCGGTTTTGACAAGAAGCATAGCATTTATTTTGTTATATTTTCTGGGAATTTTTTATCTTTTAACTAAACATTTAATGGTACAGAAACTTACTTAATTAATTAATGAGCCTGCCAAGTTATTTTGGAACTGTTCATCTACATTATACATTAATGTTCTTCTTTGCTTGCATGCCAAGTTTTCTTTCCCGAATAATTTGAACTGAGTCTAAAGTTTTTTTTTCAGTTATTTGTTTTTGTCTGAGTTAAACCTTAAGGCTAATTAGCCCAAAGTTAACTTGAAGTTCAAATGGTTTCCTGGAAGCATAGCTTGTTAGCTCAATTTATTAGGAGCCCGTCTTGGATTTAATAAGTTTGAAATAATTTATTCCAATATTCTTTGTACGATTTATGTTGTGCTGTGCGAGGACAATTTTTCTGAATCAAAATTGTATTTTGTGAATGCAATATATGTGAGCAATTCAAGTTCTTATATTCGTGGCAACTAATTTTTGCGTCTCAAAAGTTTTCTATCGAACCCAAAATTAGAATATTATCCTCGTAGCTTATTCCAAAATAAGTTTACATAATTGCTACAATTTTTTGTGTGTACGCATTTGCATATTGGCAATGAACTCTGTTCTAAGTACATTTAAATTATTATTAATCTTTAAAAGTGATATGCAAGAAATATAATTATCGTGTCAAGCCAAAATCAAAGAAAATATGGTGTTAGCGCCTGAAACCGCCTTAGGTTTATTTATGATCTAGCACATTAACATCTAAAGATCATTTCCACCTATATGGCCCCTCTTAGGATCCCATAAAATGTAAAATAAACATATCACATGCTGCGAAAACCTACTTCTTCGAGGCTGCAATCGTTTTCGAAGCTTAGATCTTTTATAAACTTTTTAGCTATAGCCAGATGTATGTTCGTGTGTGAGGCACTTTAATATTTATAGTGTGAACAGACTTGCAGGTTATAGTTCATTGCATGTTCTGTTCAAGAATTTTGATGCAGTGAATAATACAGTATGGGACAGAAAGATATGTTGCACAAACCTTTTAAAAGTTTTTGTGGGTAATTGTTATAATAACCAAAATTATATATTTTTTGTTCACTCTTTCATTACCGAACTTTTGACTATACGTCTATATATGTGATGATATTTACAAATTAATGATTTACACTTGTTTCTTTTTCTACAGTTAATTGTTTTTCTTCTAATTTACTTTGCTTCTTCTTGTGTAAAAGATTAGTTAGTTTTGCTGGTTATCAATTACCTCAGGGCTCTTTTTATGTTTAATGTTACATTACTTATTTTAATCATTAACAAATTTTTGACAATACGTTTATAAATGTTAATATACTATTTTGAAATTATTGTAACACTTTTCATAAACGTAAAAAAATATTTCTGCAGTTTACTTTAGAAACATTAATAAGTTGAAGAGCGTTTAAATTAACTCCATTTTCAGTTGCAAATTTATTATTGGTTTATACTTGTTTCTTTTTCTATACTTTTTTTCTATACTACTATATGTTTTTTCTTGTAATTTTATTTTTCTCCTTCTCGTGAAAAGGATTTATTACTTTTGATGCCTGTCGATTACTTAACAACTCTTTTTATCTTTAATAATTTGTTATCTCAATAGTTCAGACATATATAATGGACAAAATTAAGAAAAAACCCCCCAAAATATTTATTTAGAGTCAAACGAGAAATAATTAATCTGTTTAGTAATAATGCTGAAACAAACTTAAATAAAAGCTTGAATGACATTTTCATATTTAAGTAACAATCTATCAAATTTACCAACTTGTCTAAAACTTCTAAATGTTCCCCTAAATGAATTGGAAAAGCATAGTCCGCGAGAGCTGAGTAAAACAGCGTTTTTTTGTTCTTATTGGCCATCGATCACACTTGCTTGATGATTGCATTTCTTTGATATTTCCTGGAAAATAAAATTTGCTTCAAAAGCTTTTTAAACTACATTAAATTATTCATTTATAACTATTTATATTTAAGTCACTATAAGCGATTTAACGTTTTTCATGAATGTTCACATTAAAAAACTTAAAAAATGTATACAGGTTTTGCAAATAGCTAAGGAACTTTTTCGCATTGAAGAATTTATGCTTAATTTCCAGCGTCATTTTATAAATTCTGATGATTCAACTTGCAATTGATATACAGAGTGATTCACGTTTTAAATGCTATATTTGGAAACATCATTTTCCTTGCTTAACTGGTTGAGTTCACAAATTAACATATACACTGGTCGAAGTTAAGAAAATTGAGATATTTTATCGTTCTCTTTCGAAATGAGAAATAATTACATTTCACCTTCCTTCATTCGCACTCACATTTGTAACATTTTTTTGCTGGTTTTCCAAATCAGTTGAACTAAAACGATATTGTGTAAAGGTGTTTAATACTGACTCTAAATCATGCCGTATATGGAAATAGGAATACAAGTACAAGTTTGTAACAGTTTTATATTAAATGTACTTACTATTTTTTGTCACGAAGGTTTTTGTTTCGTTTGTTTGTCTTTTGGATGTTTCACTAATGAATGTGAACTATCATTTTTTCATTTCATTTTCACGTTGTTAAATTGTATCTTAGAAGTTGTGGAATATTCTTGCTAAATATTTGTATGTACGCAAGTGGGATCATTCAGTAAATATACGAAAGTAAACAGAAAAAATCGACAATTTGTGAAAAACACCTATGAATTAATCAATGAAATGAAATAAATCCAAGATTAAAGTTGCTATTAATGTTTAGACAATGAAGAATTTATCAAAAACAGGAGTTACAGAGCAGACAGAAAATATTTACAAATTGTGAAGAACATGTTCTAAAAATATAACCGTCCAGATTCTCATACTATATATAGACTATCACAAGAAATTGTTTTTTTTTAACTTAGAACTTAAACTTTAAACTGTTAGATGTACGAAAAATCGGTGACTAGTAAAAACTAAATCAGACAGTTTTAAATTATTTGAAAAATTACTAAAACTGTTTTAAACACAATAAGAAAGTCTTTATTCACTTGCGTATATGAAACTGATTTTCTTAATATTGCATTTCGCAAATAAAAAAAAAAACTTTGTTCAAACACTGAATCGATTATTCACTCAGCTATGTGAGCAATAAAATTACCACACATAAAGATCGCCAAACTATAAAACAAAATTTACCAATCTGAACTTGAAAGTAACTCAAAGTTGACAATTTTATATAAGTAGCCGAAAAGATCTCTGATTAAAATATGTAAGTTGGACTTTAGAGCAATGATATTTTTTAATATTTTATGTTTGTGTTTTAATTCACTTTTCACAGTTTAAACTTCGATTTATCAATTACTACGCAGCTGAGCTCGACTGTTTATATCAAACAAATATATAATAATCTGTGGAAGTTTAATAATTTTGTAACTAGTTGCAAATATAGACCAAAAATTCAAACTTTCTAACTTACTTTATTTAAAAGTATCAGCACAATTAAACCATGTCGAGTGTTGCGACACCGGAATAAAAAGCTTTTAAACTCATTGCGAGATCGATGGCTTTTAGAGTTTATACCCAGTTTTCTTTCTTGTGCCAATTTAGATAGAAGTATCTTTCAACTTTGTCAACTGGAAATTTTCCATCACAGTCACGGGCGATCGTTTAGACATAGCGGAAGCAAAGGACTGGAAAACCATTTGCCATTTTATCAATTCCCTTTTGCACGACTACGTCCTTAAAACAGCGATTGGATTGTATCGTTCTGTCCCTTGTTCCCAACCTAATTTGTCAATAAATGAGAAAAGTGGCTTTCTATTTAGATTTTGCCTTTCAACTTTAGAGGAGTTTTGTCTGTCAACTATTAAAAGTTTAACGAAGCATTTCCGAATGCCGAATTGTTGGTTTAATCAGTTTCATTAATAAGAACTGACCTGCCAGAATGATGAAGAGTCAAGGTTACCATTAATCAAAATTTTGATGTCTATTCGGTACAAGGTACTAAAATTGGTTGGCAAATCGATGTTTATTGTTAGTGAGATTCACCAGGCGAGTGGTAATAATTAAGCAAACAATACGCCATGTATTTACCAAATATTCTATTAATATCCTTACATGGAATTAGAGTGCGTTGTTCTTGAAGCAAAAGATTCAAATAATATTTTCCTATTATTCTCCACTTTCATGGAAATAGGCGTAATATTAGTAGAAAAAAAGATCAATGCTTATTAAAGTAATTATTGATGAAGAGTCCGGTGGAAAAAGTGTCCACTTTTTCGACACTATAAGCTTAAAATTAAGTTCGGAAGGTCTGCATAGTAAAAGTAATTGAAGCAATTTCCGTTAAAAATCTAAGCTGCTAAAATAGGAATGTTAGGTATCAAGCAAACTTTATTTTCCCGAGCACCCAAATTAAACGCCATTTGATTTTTCTTTGTGGCACTTTATTCAGTTCGAATTACTAGCTTTGAGGCAAAAACCTGAACAACTTGTTTTAAAAGACCACTTCGTTAGTGCTGCTGCGAAAGTCAAAAGAATATATCCTGAACAAGGATATATTTTTTCCAGCAGTAAATAAATTTAGTTTAGTCGACTTGATATTTTTGGTTTCATTAATTTTCCTTTCCTCTTGATTTTACTTAAACAAGTGAAGAGCTTTTTCCAATAGATGATTACCTTATATATTATTATTATTACTTCACAACTGCGATTTTATGGATCAGTCGTAGGTAGTATGCATATCCCATACACTTAATCCAGAATAAAGGTTGATTTCGTAGATGGAATGACAGGTGAATAGTGAAACGAGCGGTTTTCTCCAAGCTGGAGACCTTTTGATGTTGAAGAACAATTGCAACATTTGATTTGAAGCTACCAAAAATATTCTAGTTATGTTGTTGATTTATTGGAAATTGTCTTCCATATAGAAGATGTTAAAAAATGTAATTTGTTTTCACTGGTACCCAATCTGGCTTTGTTCAAGTCGAAAACTACTTTTCTATACAGAACAATTAAGGTTTCCAGTACTTACCTCAGACACGTTTAAGATAATTAACAATAACAAATTGTGTCTTTCTTAATTTTCTTCTGAATCGTCAGCTCATATTTTATAAACCGCTTTATCTTCTGTTGATGCATTAACATTTTTTTCCGTCTCTAGACTTACAAAGTTAAATAAAAAAATATTAATTCAGAAACAGCCGAATGCCATGATTTTGAGTTGACTATCTATAAAAATAAATAATGCTGTTGTATGATGAGAAAATGAAATTGGCAATTGTAGCTTCTATAAACTAAAATTGAAAATGAAGCCAAAAGAAACCTCAATAAAATTATTAATATTAGCAAACCTTTTCTTTGGTTTCCGTTCAACGAATTGTGCAAAAGCGTGTAGCTTTGAAACGCTTTTCCCAAAGTGATTTATTAAAGCTGCTTTTTATAGTGTTTTGTGGGCTACACGTTCTATAATTCGGAATCTATCAATAAACATAAATACCCTTATTTTTACTGCTTTATTTAATTTTATATTTGAAGATAAACATTTAGCAGTTTAGAATTACGTATGTTTTACCGATAATATCAAGTATCTGCCAGATAATTTATTTATTTGATTCAAAAATCACATTAGAAGATACAAGCAGAAGCATATGGGTTATTATTAACATAATATAAGATCTCACATATTCACAGCAGCATTCATTCATTTCATGTTGAAAATGATAGGATCTCATAAATATTAATATATAAATCGAGGAACATTTATAATATAGAAAACCTTTATAGCACTGCATCGAAATGGTAATTGTACACGGTTTTAGGTCATAAAATATCAGAGTTTCATTGAAATTAGGCTTTATCAATTCCGAACTTCCGTTTCTAAAATAAAAAATATCACAAAATTAGTAAACTCAAGAGCCACTTAATATAACCAACTAAACCCACTAATATAATTTAAAACCAACAACTTTCTTTTGTCTTGTGTTCTACAGATTTACGAATGCATGCACAAAATCACATTTGTTATTAAAGCAATATGAATGGTAGGAAATACGCTTCCATTTGCAACAATTAGAAGGTAAGTTAATTCGAGAGTTTAAGGTGAGAGATACTAAAATGCGAAATGTTGTAGGAAAACATATGGCAAAATGAACATAAAATTAATAATCCTAAATGTAAATCTTCATATATATCTCCTTTATTCGCAAGACATAAACTAAGTTTAATTTACGATAGAAAATCTGTTAGAATATATATTTTCTTGTTCTACATGATTTCATGTCTTAATATCGAAACTAGCCAAAATAGTATCTAGTCATTTGGAATTTTGAATAAAGTTTCGTTTTTAAATTTAAGAGCCTTAATTTCTTTCACGAGAACTTTGCTTCAGGTTCTGTTTATGGTAAGCAGCTCATTAAAAGTCCCTTTTATAGCATTCCATATATTAAAATAACAATTTCACTTTCATAACAACGCTGTTGTTGCTTTGCATTTAATAAAGAACACCGAATACAAATATTGTTTCCTATATGACTTCGAGTATTCTTTGTTGTCTCAGCCGGGCAATATTCTATTTGCTTTCTCCGAGCGTATATGTTGAGGCTGGTGTAATTCTAAACATATGTACGGTGAATTTTAGGATGTTTCTCTTTTCGAACTTATTGCCTGCCTCAATAACGAAAACAACAACAGTGAAGCACTTTGCATTACAGAAAGCGTCTCAATTCTCAGAAGTTTTCTTCGTTTGTATAAATTCGTCTTGCATGCTTTTTTATTACAAAATGACTTCCTGGGGGATGTGGATTAGAGTAATTAAATGTCGATTAGGCTAATTGAGGCTTGACGAAGCTTAACCAACCAGAAAAGGAAAATAATCTAAATGTTTGACGTAATTGGAAAACGTTAAACGTATTCCGGTTAAGTAATGAAATGGGCCAAGCGCTACACTATGCAGCTATTTATGTTAAGGTGACAGTGAATTATTTTGAATGAGTAATTTTCAACCCTGGAAAAGAGCTTCCAAATTATTGTGTATTAGGAAAATAACAATGTAAATTTTTGGCGAAGTTGAAAATTATTTTTTTTTCCTTTTTACTTAAAGCTAATTAAATAAATTTCTTTTTGGAGTAGGATCAAAATCTTAAAGGCAGTGAAACTGGGAGCTTTTCGGGTTTTAAGAAAATGGAATTTCTTCCGAATGTTTTGCAAGCATGCAAGATATTTTATTATAGTCTGAACTTCACTGATTTTTCAGAAGCTTTTGAACTTGACGTGCAAATAAAAAAAACCGGACAACTTGTAATGCAGTTGAAAAATCATAAACAATTTCCCACGATCACGCAAAACTTTGTACCTAAAGCTGGACCAAACTTTAGTAAAATCGAAACTTGAACTGATTTTTAAGAAGCTTTTGAACCTGCCGTAAAATTCGAAAAACCAATAAACTTGTGGCGCAGCTAAACTTGACAAAGGTCCCTCCCAAACCAGTTATGGTAGCAATTTAAAATTTCCGCGCTGTGAAAAACAACGCTTTACCCACAACTGTGCTAAATTTGATTAAGATCGAAATTTCATATTTTTGAAAGTCAAAAGTCTTTTGAACCTGATGTGAAATTCGAAAAATTCTAACCCACTTTCAACAGCCTTTCAAATTTCTACACAGCCAAGAGGAACATTGTGTCTAAAACCGACCCAAATTAATAAAATCGGGACTAGAACTGATTAATCAGAAGCCTTTGAACTTGTAGTGAAATTCGAAAATCCGACAACTTGTGGTGCAGCTAAACAAAAAATCATAACTTCCCGAATCGGAACTTTTACCGATTTTTTAAAACCTTTTGATCTTAACGTGAAATTCAAAACACTGCCCAACTTGTCATATAGTTAAACATAAATTTAGAACTCCCAAACCACTTTGAGCATCAATCTGAAATTTCTACACAGGCAAGAGGGAGGTTGTGTCTAAAACAGGAGCAAATGTCATTAAAAGTGCAACTTGAACTGATTTTTCAAAAGCATTTGAACATGACGAAAAAATTAAAAACCGACTAACGGGTGTTGGAGTTAAACAAAACATCATTACTCCCAAACCATGGCAGCAAATTGAAATTTTCGCGCCATGAAGAGCAAGGCTTTACTTAACTGTACTAAATTTGATTAAAATCGGGATTTCTTCTGATTTTTCAAAATCCTTTGAATTTGACGAAAGTTTCAAAAAACTGCTCAACTTGTAATGCAGTTAAACATAAATGTATATCTCCAAACCCAGTTGTAACATCAACTTGAAATTTCTATATGGTCAAAGAACAAGTTCTAGCTCTTATTGAATGAAATTTCATAAAAATCTGGATTTCCACTGAGTTTCAAAAGCTTTTGAGCGTGATGTGGAATCCGAAAAACTGTTCAACTTGTAATGCGGTTAAACATAAATTCATAACTCCCAAACCAGGTGGAGCAACAACTTGAAATATCATCACATCATAAAGGAGAAGGCTCCATATAAAACTGAGCGAAATTTAATTAAAAGCCGACCTCTGGTTGATTTTTCAGATTTTTTTAAATTTGGCATCAGGCAAAAGCAAAATCAATTTGACTAAAAAATCGCCCAAATTAAAGTGCGTTATGGAAAAAATCATGAATCCAAAAACAGTTGAAGCGGCAAGTTGAAAGTTCCGCACAATCACCGAGAAGATTAAGTCTTAAACTGAACCAATTTTTATTAAAATCTGAGCATCGATTGATTTTTCAGAAGTTTTTGAACTTGAAGAAACAAAATAGCGCCCAACTTGCATTGCAGTTAAACAAAAACTTTCAAACTAGTTGGAACAGCAACAAACGAACAAACATGCAATTATATCCAAAGTGTTCCCAGGATTTGTGTCCATTTGCTTCAGCCAGTTTTTTTAAAGCTAATCTAAATCAGTGAAAACAAAGTTTAATTAATAGAACTAGATAAGCGTGTAAATTCCAAGAATTAATGACAATTTGGTCAATTAACTTCTTTGTGGGT